AAATAATAATAGATCACGACATTTCGATCGCAACACAAGCAACCGTCATCAGGTGTGAAACAAACACAGCAGAAGGACTGCTGACGTAAATCGCGCACTGCTAGTGTTTGTGGTTATCGCCAACACCCACACTCTCTCACCCCTGTTCACCCTCACTTGATTTCACCCTTGCTCGCCCTCTCAACCCACTCACTCCCTCACCCTTGCTCGCTCACACCCTCTCGCACACACTCACCTCTGCACCCTCTCTACCCTCGCCTGCTCGTTCTCGTTGACGCCTCCACTCTCGCTCACTCGAGCTAACGCCCACTCGCCTCTTGTCCGTTGGCACTTTCCTCTGCCCTCGCCCCTCCCTGTGTTCACTCTGTCGCTACGTTCACCATCGCTGCCTTCCGCAGGCCCAGTTACCAATGCGCTGCTCGTGCCGCCGCTGCCGGGCCTCGTGGACAGCGAGCCGAGGCCGGCGCTCACTCTGCCTCGGCTGGCGCGGCATCTGGCGGGTGCCGGCGATGACGGTGCTGGGGAGGGCGGCGCCGTAACCGTGAGGTCGGCGAGGTCGCGGCACATGGTGAGGTCACATGGGGAGGGGGGGGCGGGGCACGGCGGATTGGATGGAAGGGCGACGTTCGGTGGAAAAATGGATCGGTTCATTGATTAAAATCAATTCTTATGCCACACAAAACGTGCGTCTGATCGTGCGTGTGAGAAGTTTTGTTGTACATGTAAATCGCGCACTGATGTTCCTTGACAGGTAATTAAAGGCAAAAATAATTACATAAACGATACAAATGAGATGACGTACAATAGATTCTTGAATGGGATGATTCTGAATCGAGATGATTTAATGGGATCGGTGAGGGGGTTCAATCATTAGTGGCCGAGTTCCTCGGCTTCCGGCCACAGCCTCGGGCCACCCTGTGGCGACTGCGCGAGTCTGCAAGGGTTCTGCCTTCTTAAGCCAAATCCTCTTCACGATCTCCCTCACCTTAGGAGTGACGGCCCGTCGACGCGGCAGGTTTTTGTGCGGTCGTCTATATAAACGCTGCGTTTGTCCATCAGGGAGCGCAGGAACGCACGCTCCTGCAGGAACTGACGCAGCTGCGCGATGCCATGCAACATGGAATCGAGACGGTAGAGACTACTTAATGTCACCCCGCTCCCATTGCTGCCCTATTCCCGCTGCCCCCCCTCCACTGCTGCCCCCTTCCTGCGGCCCACCTTACACCGCTGCTACTGGACATCTGTGAAAAAAAGCTTTATAGCTCATCGGATTCCTCCAGTATAAATATTCTGATTCTGCCCCCCTTCATACTGCTCCCTTCCACTGTTTGCCCCCCCCCTGCCACTGCTGCCTCCTGTCTGCTACTGCCACCTTCCTGTTGTCCCGTGCTACTGCTGCCCCATGCCACTGCTGCAACCCCTTCCTGCTGCCCCCTTTCTACTGTTGCCCCCCCCCTCCTGCTGTGGCCCTCCCCCCGCTGCGGCTCCCCTACTGCAGCCACCCCCACCTTTTATTGCTGCCAGCACCCTCGTGTATTTATTCTACATGGTATGTTCATATATGTATTTTGTGTTTGTGTCGTGCACATGGTGTGTGTATAATTAACATGGTGTGTGTAATGTAAACGGGTGTGTGATGTACGTGGTATGTTAAAGGCTACGTTGGGGGATCTTTGTCTTCGGTGTGTGTGTGTGTGGTGTTGAAAGCGGTTGTGCTATGTGGGATGCAGGATGGGCTGGCAGACCCCGAGGGTCAGCGCCTTCTCGCCTCGGAGCTCCAGGAGGAGGTGCACCGCCTGCGCACAGCCAACACCGACCTCTACAAATTCGCCAGCACCCAACTCCACCCAGTCTGACATTGCTGCAACCAGTGCCCGCCGGCCTCCTCCCACCCACCCACAATGCCTCGCGTGCTCCACCCTGTAACCACGCCGGCCGGATGCGGCCGTCGGTCCTTAGATCGCTTTTTTGTTACGTGGAACTGTGATGGCTTTGCATTGGGGGCTCATTGTCACGGCTGTGTCCCATGCGGCTCTGCCGCCGCCGCACGGAGCTGTGGAACGAGCGCCTCTCTCGTGCTACGCGAGGCCTCTGTGAGGAAGGCGATGGAGTGAGGGCCCGAGGTGAACTGTGAATCTCCCCCACGCGATTGCTAAGTGTGGACGTGTCTTTTGTTTTTGAGCAGCACTTGCACATCGCCGGGACTCGATTTTTACAAAGCGTTTTTTTAAATCGTTTCCATTCTTAAGAGTTCTGTAAGTGTCTGTTTGCACCATATTCCGAGGATTTTAAAATTAAAGCCTGGAAGCTGCTGTGGTTCTGTGTTTGTCAATCGGAGGGTTCGGCCTGGTGGTTAGTTGGGTCCGAGTAAGGCAGGGCTCGCCCTGGTGAAGGCCAGCATATAGCCACAATGGGAGTGGGGACGTGGGCCCTGGCCCCCCAACTCCCGGCCGAAGAAATTGTGGCCGGACACAGTGTCGTGAAAAATCAACTCTTTAAGAGATGCGATTACATATTTTACTCGATTACGATAACGTGGAAATCATTGCCCCCTAATCCAAACTTCTAAAACAGTGCAGGCCTTGAAAAACCACACGTGTAAAAAACACAAAGCACTCAACCATTGTGAATTATGCAAAAACCATCAGCAGTTCCTGAAGAAGTCCGCACCTCCAATTAGCACGGTTGGCTATGTACGGTGCGAAAAAAGTTGGACATACAAGTCCATTGTGGTATGCTTAATTCACCAAGGCAGCAGCCGCAGTTCTAGACGGGCACCTGGAGAGTTTACAATGTCACCCTCTTGTCTTGCCATTGGGTACGTGGAACCCACATTGTCTGGGATGTTCACCCAGGCAAGGGTCAGCTGGCAGCGCCTTCCCTCTTTCTCAGCCCCGTTCACTTTTAACAAATATCCCCCGTATAGCCTGAAAAGACTGTTGGGGCAAGTGCTGTTAGCGAGTAGCACCTTTGAAGGCCGGTACAGCACAAGAGGGCGTGGGTGGCCAAACACCGCGCCCGGTCGCCTTTGTCTTGTTAGTGGCGATGTTTACTACACACCGCACCAAGTGCTCATTTGAGGCTGAGTCGACCTAGGGGAGGAGGCCCAGGACCGGTTCAGATAATCGTCACTGGTTTTGGCGGTGAGTGGCAATCGAACTCGGGTCCGTCGGATTCCTCGCTCTTTCTGACGTGAGCCACACCGACAACCCGTGTAGGCCTAGGCCACACCGACCACTGTGTAGCCTCAGGCCACACCGACAACCCGTGTAGCCCCGGGCCACACTAGGCCACACCGACCACTGTGTAGTCCCAGGCCACACCGACCACTGTGTAGCCCCAGGTCACACTAGGCCACACCGACCACTGTGTAGCCCCAGGCCACACCGACCACTGTGTAGCCCCAGGTCACACTAGGCCACACCGACTACTGTGTAGCCCCAGGCCACACCGACCACTGTGTAGCCCCAGGTCACACTAGGCCACACCGACCACTGTGTAGCCCCAGGCCACACCGACCACTGTGTAGCCCTAGGCCACACCGACCACTGTGTAGCCCCAGGCCACACCGACAACCCGTGTAGCCCCAGGCCACACTGACCACTCGTGTAGCCCCGGGCCACACTAGGCCACACCGACCACTGTGTAGCCCCGGGCCACACAGACCACTGTGTAGCCCCGGGCCACACCGACCACTGTGTAGCCCCGGGCCACACCGACCACTGTGTAAGCCCCAGGCCACACCGACCACTGTGTAAGCCCCAGGCCACACCGACCACTGTGTAGCCCCAGGCCACACCGACCACTGTAGCCCCAGGCCACACCGACCACTGTGTAGCCCCAGGCCACACCGACCACTGTAGCCCCAGGCCACACCGACCACTGTGTAGCCCCAGGCCACACCGACCACTGTGTAGCCCCAGGCCACACCGACCACTCGTGTAGCCCCAGGTCACACTTGGCCACACCGACCACTGTGTAGCCCCAGGCCACACCGACCACTGTGTAGCCCCCAGGCCACACCGACCACTGTGTAGCCCCAAGGCCACGTGTACGACTTTGACTGACCGCCTGATGATGCTGGTTGTAATTACTGTAAATGCTGAAGTGGGTTTACGCTCCAACACACAACCGGTGTGTGCTTAACTAGTAATGAATTCACACGTTTTGTTTACGTAGCAGACCTTAAGAAATTGGTTGTGTCGGGTGGTGGGGGGATCACGACACATTTACGCGATCTAATCGGAAAAAAACCCTATTATGGATACTTTGCATGATTTTTTTTTGTAATTCAGGGACTTTTATTTATCTGCAGTTCAAACCACTCGGTCAAAATGTCATCAATCTAACCCTAGGCAAAATAAAATAATGTATAATTTAACGTGGAATTTGACACGCGCACCAAATAGAGCGTAAATAAAAACAAATATTTAAAGAAATCGTGATTAAGTTGCATTTGAAATGCACAAAACGTTCGTCAGTGACATTGTGTGTGGCCTTTAAAGGGAGGGAACTGAACAGCTGATCAATGGCCCCAGCATTGTACCGTGATGTGCGTTGAGCCTCTTTCGCACCGTACGTAGCCAACCTCACTGCCCCTTTTCAAGCCACGGTGTCACACAAGCGAAAGGCGTCGAGTTGCCTCGTTATTTATGCGGGCCAACGCAGAATAATACATTTTTAATTGCCATAACATTGTTTGACTTTAAAAAAAGTTATCTATCCCCTGAGTAAGATGGCGGATGTGTGTGTTGAACTTTAACCGCATTACCCCGATACGTAATACATCATATTTTCCTTCTTTTAAAGCCATGGTGTTTCAGAAGCGTCTAGTTGCTTTGTTGTTTATGGCTTATGGGCGCCAATGCAGAATAATAACATTTGAAGTTGCAAAAAAAAAATGTTTGACTTTAAAAGTTATCTGACCCCCGAGTAAGATGGCGCCGATCGCAGCACAGCGTTACGTCATCAGAATTCGTACATTACAAATCGTAGTTCGCATGCGCAACGAATGAGGGCCATTTCCCGAAACGTCGCCTATTATATGTATTTATATAGATCTTGTTCTGTCTCTCCTTTAAAGGCCACGCGTGTGACTGCCGAACGTGTTTGCGTGGTTTGTTTGTTTTGTTGTTGCTGCTGCTGACGTTTGAGCGCCTTGCGTATGTGAACTACGGAATTGGAGTGCGCGCGGCGGCCTCCGTAGGCGCGAAAGGCAGAGACATGGCGAGTGGACCGTCGCAAGGTGAGAGGGAATGATCGACAACAACAACATCATCATCAACAACATCGTCGTCACCATGATCAACATCATCATCACCATGATCAACATCATCATCGCCATGATCATCATCATCACCATGATCATCATCATCACCATGATCAACATCATCATCACCATGATCAACATCATCATCACCATGATCAACATCATCACCATGATCAACAAAATCATCAACATCATCATCACCATGATCAACATCATTACCATGATCAACAACATCATAAACAACATCAACATCATCATCACCATGATCAACATCATCATCACCATGATCAACATCATCATCACCATGATCAACATCATCATCACCTTGATCAACATGATCAACATCATGATCAACATCATCACCATGATCAACATCATCATCACCATGATCAACATCATCATCATCACCATGATCAACATCATCATCACCATGATCATCATTGCTCTCAGCAACATCCATCATCACCATGATCAACATCATCATCATAATCGCTCTCAGCAACATCACGTTCTTCCAAAGAATGCTTAATTTGAAGTTAGGTATGAGTTGTGTGGAAATCCTACGGGGAGTGAATGAGTGCGTGAGAGTGAATGAGTGCGTGAGAGTTAATTTAATGTGTGTGAGAGTGAATGTGTGTGAGAGTGAATGAGTGTGTGAGAGTGAATGAGTGTGTGTGAGTGAATGAGTGTGAGAGTGAATGGGTGTGAGAGTGAATGAGTGCGTGAGAGTGAATGAGTGCGTGAGAGTGAATGAGTGTTTGAGAGTGAATGAGTGTGTGTGAGAGTGAACGAGTGTGTTAGAGCGAATGAGTGTGAGTGAGTGTGTGTGAGAGTGAATGAGTGTGTGTGAGAGTGAATGAGTGTGTGAGAGTGAATGAGTGTGTGTGGGAGTGAATGAGTGTGTGTGGGAGTGAATGAGTGTGTGTGAGAGTGAATGAGTGTGTGAGAGTGAATGAGTGTGTGTGAGAGTGAATGAGTGTAACAGTGAATGAGTGTGAGAGTGAATGAGTGTGGTGCGTGAGTGAGTGCGTGCGTAGAGTTTGTACGTTCTCCCCCTGTTATACAGAGAGTGTGTGAGAGTGAGTGAATGAATGGAGTTAGTATGTCTTCACCCTGTTCTACAAACAGCGAGTGAGCAAGAGTATGGGAGTCTGGAGTTTGTATGATCTCCCCCTGTTCTGCAGAGAGTGAATGTGTGAGTGAAGTTTGAATGTTCTCCCTTTGCTCTGGATGGGTTTCCTCCGGTTTCTCCCAATTCCTCCCATAGCTAAACCCACACACACACACCCAATGGAACTGGGATTGGCCAAACATTCCAATGCTGAAAAATTACGACTCATTTGGTATTACACAGCAGTAACATGGTCCCCGACAGAGGAAACTTTGTAGGACCCTCTTGAAAAAAGTCTTGAGCGAGGCCTTTTTCGACAAAACAAGCGGGAAAAAAAGAAATTAAGCCACTTCACTAACTTCACCACCATCAACATCAAATTCACCACAATAATAATACAACTATAAATCTATAAGCAATTTAGTATTTTACCAGGTAAGGCCCACTGGGCTGCTCTATAGCTCGTCTTTCAGGAGCGACCTGGCCACAAATGACAGCTCAACAAAGTGGCTTATCATTACGTGGAAATTTTGAGCAACCAAACACTCTAAAATGCGTGACGTTGATTCTCACTGTGGAGGGAAAAACCGGAGGACCCGGGGAAAAATCCACACGGCCACAGGGAGAACATGCAAACTCCAAATATACAACAAGCGTCAGGGTAGGGATTGGATCCACGACCTCCTGTTCACCAGGCAAGGTAGTTAACAACTCGCCACTGCATAAACCTCATCAACATCAGTATCATCGTCGTCAACATCAGTATCGACAATATCACTGTCGAAAACATCGCTAACGAATTCACCCATATCAATAATATTAGCAGCAGCGTTACCATCAGGGCTGTACGTGTGTGGACACTTGTGCTCCAGACGTGCAGAATAAAAACCGCGCGGCCATCCTGGCGGAGCTGAACAAGGAGAAGAAGAAGCTGATGTCACAGACGCCAGCGAGCAGGTGGCAGTGCCAACTGCACCACCACACACTCTTCAGCTGCGCCACCGCACACACCGCCACACACATCACCACACACCACCACCACACACACATCACCACCACACACACATCACCACCACACACACATCACCACCACACACCACCACACACACATCACCATCACACACCACCACACACACATCACCACCACACACCACCACCACACACACATCACCACCACACACACCACCACACACACATCACCACACACACCACCACACACACATCACCACACACACCACCACCACACACACATCACCACCACACACACATCACCACCACACACACATCACCACCACACACCACCACCACACACACATCACCACCACACACACATCACCACCACACACACATCACCACCACACACACATCACCACCACACACCACCACACACACATCACCACCACACACCACCACACACACATCACCACCACACACCACCACCACACACACCACCACACACACCACCACCACACACACCACCACACACACCACCACACACATCACCACACACCACCACCACACACACATCACCACCACACACACATCACCACCACACACCACCACACACACATCACCACCACACGCCACCACACACACATCACCACCACACACCACCACCACACACACCACCACACACACATCACCACCACACACACCACCACACACACATCACCACACCCACCACCACACACACATCACCACCACACACACATCACCACCACACACACATCACCACCACACACCACCACCACACACACATCACCACCACACACACATCACCACCACACACACATCACCACCACACACACATCACCACCACACACCACCACACACACATCACCACCACACACCACCACCACACACACATCACCACACACACATCACCACACACACACCACCACACACACACCACACACACATCACCACACACACATCACCACACACACATCACCACCACACACATCACCACCACACACCACCACCACACACACATCACCACACACACACCACCACGCACACATCACCACACACACACCACCACACACACATCACCACACACACATCACCACCACACACACATCACCACCACACACACATCACCACCACACACACATCACCACCACACACCACCACACACACATCACCACCACACACCACCACCACACACACATCACCACACACACATCACCACACACACACCACCACACACACACCACACACACATCACCACACACACATCACCACACACACATCACCACCACACACATCACCACCACACACCACCACCACACACACATCACCACACACACACCACCACGCACACATCACCACACACACACCACCACACACACATCACCACACACACATCACCACACACACATCACCACCACACACCGCCACCACACACCGCCACCACACACATCACCACAAAGATAAAAAGATCCCCCATATAGCCTTAACAGACTGTAGGGGCAAGTGCTGTTAGCGAGCACCTATGAATGCCGGTAACGGTACACGAGGGGGTGGGTGGCCAGCACCACGCCCGACCGCATTAGTCTCCCCAGTGGCAATGTTTTTATCCACCGCACTAGGTACTCATTTGAGGCTGAGTCGACCTAGGGGAGGCCCGAGACCGGTTCAGATAATCGTCACTGGTGTTGGCCGTGAGCGGGAATCGAACCCGTGTCGCCGGGTTCATAGCGCAGCGCGCTAACCGCTACACTATCGCTCCCCACATCACCACACACACATCACCACACACACATCACCACCACACACACCACCACACACACATCACCACACACACATCACCACACACACATCACCACCACACACATCACCACCACACACATCACCACACACACACCACCACCACACACACATCACCACACACACATCACCACCACACATCACCACCACACACATCACCACCACACACATCACCACACACACACCACCACCACACACACATCACCACACACACATCACCACCACACATCACCACACACACATCACCACACACACATCACTACACACACATCACCACCACACACATCACCACACACACATCACCACACACACACCACCACCACACACACATCACCACACACACATCACCACCACACATCACCACACACACATCACCACACACACATCACCACCACACATCACCACACACACATCACCACACACACATCACCACACACACATCACCACCACACACATCACCACCACACACATCACCACACACACACCACCACACATCACCACACACACATCACCACCACACACACATCACCACACACACATCACCACCACACACCACCACACACCACCACCACACACATCACCACACACACATCACCACACACACATCACCACCACACACCACCACCACACACATCACCACACACACATCACCACACACACATCACCACCACACACCACCACCACACACATCACCACACACATCACCACACACACATCACCACACACACATCACCACCACACACCACCACCACACACACATCACCACACACACATCACCACACACACATCACCACCACACACATCACCACCACACACATCACCACACACACACCACCACCACACACACATCACCACACACACATCACCACACACACATCACCACCACACACATCACCACCACACATATCACCACCACACACACATCACCACACACACATCACCACACACACCACCACCACACACACATCACCACCACACACATCACCACACACACACCACCACCACACACCACCACCACACACATGACCACACACACCACCACCACACACACATCACCACCACACATCACCACCACACACATCACCACACACACACCACCACCACACACCACCACCACACATCACCACACAGGGGATCCATGAGGACATCTCCACATACACCACGCCCGGTCGCCTCTTGTCTCTCCAGTGGCGATGTTTACACACCGCACTGGGTGCTCATTTGATGCTGAGTCGACCTAGGGGGAGGCCCCGGACCAGTTCAGATAATCGTCACTGGTGTTGGCCATGAGTGGGTATTGAACTCGGGTCGCTGGGTTCGAAGTGCAGCTCGCTAACCGCTACACCACAACACCACCACACACACACACCACCACAGTCCTTGTAGTTTCGGGGTGGTGATGAGCCTGTGTGTGCGCGCGTGTGTGTAGCCACTGGGGAGACAAAGGCGGCCGAGCATGGTGCTGGCCAACCACCCCCTCGTGTGTGGTTGCAGCCTTCACAGGTGCTCGCTAACAGCACTTGCTCCTACAATCTGTTAAGGCTATAGGGGGGATATTTGTCTTTATAGTTTCACGTTGGCGCGTCCCGTCGCCAAGGAGATGCGGGAGCACGCGGAGCTACAGCACACGGCACAGCAGCAGAAAGCAGCACTGCAGGTACAGCCACAGCTGACACGGCCACAGCTGACACGGCTACAGCCGACACACTCACACAACTGACACACTGCCACAGGTGACACGGCCACAGCCGACACGGCCAGAGCCGACACTCGCATTTCAACTTTGCAAGTTGCTTTCGTTTAACCAGGCAACAACTCAAAAGTGACCAGCATGTCTCTCATTTGCAAGAGTCGTCTGGTGGCAGTAGGGGGCGATGATTGGTAGTGTGTGTGTTTAATCCCAATTTAGTCATTTTCGTATTTGGCGCATGACATCACGGGGTTTATGACGTCCCCTGTGAGTGAAACACGTCGTGTTATTGTTACTATTATCATAGTTGTGGATATCACACACTGCACGATTAGTCAGGGCAGGTACTGGTTGTCAACCGCGAAGCTCTGAAACCCGCTTTTGGCCGTGTCACCGCCCACAGTGGTGGCTGTTGGGTCGAATGTTGGTGCAGCGCACGGAGCGAGGGAGGGAGGTACTCGACTACACAGGGCTGTCCCCATACAAAATGAACGTGGAAGGACAGCTATTTATTATTGGCCTAGGACAGGGTATATTTGGAGGCGCTTTTATTTTTATTGTGACACTCCCTGGGAGGAGTTTGAATCAGCGCACGGGATATCTGTGAAAAAGAGCTTCATAGCTCGTCGGATTCCTCCAGTATAAATAAATATTCTCATTCTGAAATGGCCATCGACCGAGCGCCGCTGATTTTTATTCGTAATGCCAAACACGTGAGAAAATAACTCAAATAAGCCGTTTGATTTGAAAATAAATCAACGTCAAGTGGTTTTTGACTTGGTGTTATTTTTTATATTTGAATATTTTCTTTGGTTCTTTCGGTTAAGTCACGTAGAATGAGAATAAAATAATAAATTGATAAAATAAAATAACACAATAATATTCTCACGACGTTTCGGCCACAACACAAGCGGCCTTCATCAGGTGAAGGGACGAGACTGTCTGGAGGATAGCGCTGTCCTCCAGACAGTCTCGTCCCTTCACCTGATGAAGGCCGCTTATGTTGTCGCCGAAACGTCGTGAGAATATTATTGTGTTATTTTATTTTATCAATTTATTATTTTATTCTCATTCTACGTGACTTTACCGAAAGAACCAAAGAAGATGAATCCTTGCAGTCACGAAAGCTTTAAATCGATATTTGAATATTGTTTAGGTTGGGCACCACCCCAATGGCCCATACAGACCAGACGCCACTGCCTGACACAGTCACAGCTGGCACATCTACAGCTAGCACAGTTACAGCTGACAAGGCCTCAGCAAAGACTCCGCCACAGCTGACATAGCTAGTGACGCAGCTAGTGACACAGCCACAGCCGACACAGCTATCGACTCGGCGACATCTCTTGCTACAATAGATGTACAGTGAGGGAAAAAAGTATTTGATCCCCTGTTGATTTTGCACGTTTGCCCACTGACAAAGAAATGATCAGTCTATAATTTTAATGGTAGGTTTATTTGAACAGTGACAGACAGAATAACAACAACAAAATCCAGAAAAACGCATGTCAAAATTTTTATAAATTGATTTGCATTTTAATGAGGGAAATAAGTATTTGACCCCCTCTCAATCAGAACGAATTCTGGCTCCCAGATGTCTTTTATACAGGTAACGAGCTGAGATTAGGAGCATACTCTTAAAGGGAGTGCTCCTAATCTCAGCTTGTTACGTGTATAAAAGACACCTGTCCACAGAAGCAATCAATCAATCAGATTCCAAACTCTCCACCATGGCCAACACCAAAGAGCTCTCCAAAGATGTCAGGGACAAGATAGTAGACCTACACTAGGCTGGAATGGGCTACAAAACCATTGCCAAGCAGCTTGGTGAGAAGGTGACAACAGTTGGTGCGATTATTCGCAAATGGAAGAAACACAAAAGAACTGTCAATCTCCCTCGGCCTGGGACTCCATGCAAGATCTCACATCATGGAGTTGCAATGATCATGAGAATGGTGAGGAATCAGCCCAGAACAACACGGGAGGATCTTGTCAATGATCTCAAGGCAGCTGGGACCATAGTCACCAAGAAAACAATTGGTAACACACTATGCCGTGAAGGACTGAAATCCTGCAGCGCCCGCAATGTCCCCCTGCTCAAGAAAGCACATATACATGCCCGTCTGAAGTTTGCCAATTAACATCTGAATGATTCAGAGGACAACTGGGTGAAAGTGTTGTGGTCAGATGAGACCAAAATGGAGCTCTTTGGCATCAACTCAACTCGCCGTGTTTGGAGGAGGAGGAATGCTGCCTATAACCCCAAGAACACCATCCCCACCGTCAAACATGGAGGTGGAAACATTATGCTTTGGGGGTGTTTTTCTGCTAAGGGGACAGGACAACTTCACCGCATCAAAGGGACGATGGACGGGGCCATGTACTGTCAAATCTTGGGTGAGAACCTCCTTCCCTCAGCCAGGGCATTGAAAATGGGTCGTGGATAGGTATTCCAGCATGACAATGACCCAAAACACACGGCCAAGACAACAAAGGAGTGGCTCAAGAAGAAGCACATTAAGGTCCTGGAGTGGCCTAGCCAGTCTCCAGACCTTAATCCCATAGAAAATCTGTGGAGGGAGCTGAAGGTTTGAGTTGCCAAACGTCAGCCTTGAAACCTTAATGACTTGGAGAAGATCTGCAAAGAGGAGTGGGACAAAATCCCTCCTGAGATGTGTGCAAACCTAGTGGCCAACTACAAGAAACGTCTGACCTCTGTGATTGCCAAAAAGGTTTTTTGCCATCAAGTACTAAGTCATGTTTTGCAGAGGGGTCAAATACTTATTTCCCTCATTAAAATGCAAATCAATTTATAACATTTTTGACATGCGTTTTTCTGGATTTTGTTGTTGTTATTCTGTCTCTCACTGTTCAAATAAACCTACCATTAAAATTATAGACTGATCATTTCTTTGTCAGTGGGCAAACGTACAAAATCAGCAGGGGATCAAATACTTTTTTCCCTCACTGTATACTTGTGTATACCTGTTTGTGAATACGTGTCTATTCATGTGCACGTGTGTGTGTCTTATATGCTGCGTTTAAGTGTATACTTGTGTGTACAGCATGCATTCGTGGGGAGCGGTACTGTGCTACAAACCTCGCCATCTTAGTTCAATTTCCTCTCACAGCCATCACCTAGGTCGACTCAGCCTCAAATGAGTACCTGGTGCGGTGTGTAAACATCGCCACTCGGGAGGCAAAGGCGGCCGGGCGTGGTGCTGGCCACCCACCCCCTCGTGTGCCGTACCGGCCTTTATTGATGCTTAGATGCTACTCGATAACAGCACTTGCCCCAACAGTCTGTTAAGGCTATACGGGGGATCTTTGTCTTTGTTTTTGCAGCACGCGCATGCACATTCCTTCGGATTCTTCATCACGCAGGACTCTGCCTTCGGGAACCTCATTCTGCCCGTGCTGCCTCGCCTGGAGCCCGAATAACATCCCCCTGCTAGCCTCCTCCTCGCATCCTCCTCGCATCCTCCAACCCACTAGCCCCGCCATCCCATCCCTGATCCTACCAGCCCAGTAACAGAAACAACAGCCTCCGTTCGCACCCAAGTTACTGTGACATCACCGCAGTTCTCGTGCCGGGGCTAGGTGCACTTTGAGGCTGCCTGAAGTGTCGGAAGCCTCCCTGGCAGGAGGTCACGGGACAGACCCAGGTGGTTATTTGGGGTCGGCTGGCTGAGATGACTCGCCCACTCTTCAGGTGGCACATTGAGCACGTGCGTTTGTGTTTGTGTGACTTGGGTGAGGCCAGGCCATGGGGACATGGGGAGGGGGGATGCGGAAAAACATGGGGACACAGGAGAGACAGCAGCAAGATGGGCGGTGCAGTGACATGGCAAGACGTGCTCGCTGGAGACAAGAGGACATGAGACTTTTGGGAGGCATTGGAGACACAGAGGCGTGCGATAAATTGGGACGGGGCAGATATGTGGGAGACATAGGGACGTGCAAGACAAATGGAGACAGGGGAGACAGGTTATTGACATCGGATTGAAAGCTGGAAGAACCCGGTGAGCTTTGAATATCGTTTTCAAAGGTGTCCAGCCCAAGCTGGGGGTCGGCTTTTGCAGAAAATGACAGAGATAAATGAAACAACTGCATGCATACTCATATGCAACGTCGAACAAAACATAAGTGTATAGAAAGAAAGAATATGAGCATTAGTTAAAACTCTACAAAGAAAGGATCAGTTACATTTGAAAATGCACAGTTGTCATAGCTGAGAGTCACAGTGGCAGATGTGGGTGTAATTGGCATCGAGTGTGAGTTTAAGAGCAAAGATGAGACAGGGTTTGAGAGCCAGGTGGGAGACATGGGGAGACAGAGGGTCATGTCCTGTCAATTCTGCGAAGGCGTGAATGGAGGTGTCTTCTTCTGTCTGGCTTTTGATGTATGTACCTCTTTCGCACCGCACGTAGCCGACCGTGCTAATCAGAGGTGCGGGAGAAGGACAACAAACTAAACACAAATAGCAGTTCTGAGCAGTTCTAAAGAAATTAGTTTTCAAAGTTGAGACTCCTCACCTCCAATGATACCATTGTAGATGTGATGTCATGAGGGCGCATGATACAGCCGGTGTATTGAGCATTGTGGGGGGAGCGGTAGTGCAGCGGTTAGCGTTACGCTGCGCCACAAACCCGGCGACCAGAGTTCGATTCCCGCTCACGGTCTATACCAGTGACGATTATCTGAACCGGTCCTGGGCCTCCCCTTGATTGACCCATCCTCAAATGAGTACCTGATGCGATGTGTAAAACATCACCACTTGGGAGACAAAGGTAGGCGGACGTGGTGTTGACTACCGACCCCCTCGTGTGCTGTGCCGGCCTTCATAGGTGCTGCTCGCTAACAGCACTTGCCTCGACAGTCTGTTAAGGCTACACGGGGGACCTTTGTGCTAAGCGTGGTCCATGAAACAGCACGCGCTTGTCGTTCTGCAAGGAGCGGGCCACGTGTGCCCCTGTTGCGGTCTAAATTTGGCAAATTTAGAAAAAAGCACGTCGATTATCGCCCCTCCCCACCCCCCTCATGAGAAATCGATCGGGAACCACCTGACAAAAAAAATATTTGGAAAATAAATGGTTCTTCGCTGTTTTACACCGGGGAAAACCTCGCCCAGTCTCAAGTTGTTCAAGAGCGTCCTGCCAAGTTTTCACCAAAAGGCGACCGATGCTGCTACGTTTGCTCAAATTGAGCAATGAGGTTTATGTAACAATATGGGATGGCTGATGTCAAGAGGCGGTCATTCTATGAGGCTGGCATTCGCACTATACTGATTTGTATATGAATGTTTCATTTGTAAAATAAATGTGGAAAATCCCACTTTTGTTAATTATCTGTGTGCTGTAAAGAAGGGACATTGCCCGAAACGTCAGCTATTTGTTTTCCTTTTCGGGTCACAGTCTTGACCAGGGCGTTGTGCGTTTATTTGTTCTTGTGCACCACCGCCAACGCAGCAGCAGTGGTAGTGACACGTGACCTCCCTCGCTTGCGATGCAGGATGGACGTGGGTTCAGTCCCGACCCTGACGCCTGCTGTATATTTGGAGTCTGCGGTGTCTCTCCGTGGTCGCGTGGATTCTTCGGGTACTGCAGTGTTTCGCTCCACATTTAGAATTGACGTCACGCGTGTTTTAGAGTATTTGGCTGCTGCTAGAAATGTCCACATGATGATGGTGAGCCACTTCGTCGAGCTTTCATTTGTGATCGCCAAGATCGTTTCTAAAAAAAGAGTTACGTAGCTCAGTTGGGCCCTTACCTGGTAAAATATAAACAGTTATAAAAGAAAACACCATTGATCTCTGCCCAGTGAGGTCATCGCGGAATGACGTCATTGCGTTGATGTCAACGCTTAGTGACGTCACACCGGTGACCGATTTTTTTTTTGGGGGGGGGGCAGTGATGAGGGGCCCCGAACCCTGCATGGTCGCGGAGGGGGGGGGGGCGTAACGTGAATGCTCGCCAAGCCGCGCGGCCCCGGAACGGGCATAGAAACCCCATTAGTATGTGCGGGCGCCCCTATAGGGCCCCGGAACATGAATGACACTACTAGAGGGCCCCTAAAAGGGGGAAGTCCCGTTTTCGCCCCCCCCCCATCCCCAGCAGTCGCTTATTAATTCCACAGTCGCACGCTCACCGGCGGTGAGTCACCTCCGTATCACTCTTGTATCGCCACTACTACCATGGGGTGAATGTTCCCCGTGAGCTTCCCTTCCATTATTCCCTCGCACTGCTCCCCCCGCTCTCGAATTCCCTCCCAGCATCTTGTTCCACTCCCCCCCAAAACCAACCCCTGCCAAAAGCTCTGACCATCGTTGCGCAGTTCAAGAAACGCGTTCACTCTCGTCCGTGACTACTTTAAGGGTGTCGTTCGTTGCTAGTCTCTTCGTGTTATTTGTGTACCTTTGGGCCCTCTGCTAAGCAACTGTAGAAAATGCTCTTTGGTTTTTTCGGTCAAGTCACGTAGGCGAAATTTAGTTGCTTTATTTTATTTTGCCTACGTGACTTTACCGAAAAAACCAAAGAGTATGAATCCTTGCGGTCACGAAAGCTTCAAATTTAGAACTGTAGAAAAACAATGCGTGATCCCTCTTCTCACGCTCCCTCTCCAGTCTCGCCTCTCCATTGCCTCTCCCTTCTGCCTCTCTCTCTTCTCCAATCTCCCTCCCCCTCTCCCCCTCCCTTCTACCGCCCCTAAGGCTTGGGGCGCGGTTTTCACTCAATCTGCGTCTCCTGCTCCAGATCCCCTCGACACCCGGTTACCCCTCCCACCCCCAAGGGGACCCCTCCCAACAGGTCCCCCCTCTGTCTGCCGGGGAGCCCTCATTCACACAAGGACCCCTTCACGCCAACCCTCGGTTCAAACACGCACACACGCGTGTATAAAATACACAAGTGCCATACACACAGATTCACACACACACGCGTGTATAAAATACACACGTGCAATACACACAGATTCACACACACGCGTGTATAAAATACACAAGTGCCATACACACAGATTCACACAGTCACGCGTGTATAAAATACACAAGTGCCATACACAGATTCACACACACCCGTAGAGTACAATACACAGACATAACTATACACGTAAATCACCATGTAATTACACTCGGTGCCACGCACTCGCCCAAAATCACATGCATACCAACATACAAACAGGTCCACACAAATACGGACACGCGCGCAGTCTCACACACGCTGTAGCGCCATGGGTTACGCCCGTGCCCGCCTTTAACGGGAGTCATCAGCATCCATCGGCAGCAACATCTTCGGCAGCGGCAGGAGCGAGCACACCACCACCACCACCATCATCGTCATCAGCGTAAACATGTGCATCGTTCAGCATCAGCATTATCATCAACACCATCATCATGATGGTCTTCACCAGCAGCAGCATCTGTAGCACTATCATCATAAAACATCACCGACATCATCACCACCACCACCACGACCATCACCGCCACTGCCATCATCGCCATCACCACCACCACCGCCGCCACCACCATCATCGGCGTCAGCTGGAGCCGCGCCCTTATCGCTGGAGCCGCCCTGGGTCCAGGTAAGCGCTCTCGGGGGACCCACGGGGGATCGCGGGGACCCTAAGGGGATCCTCGGAGATTATAGTGGAGGGGACACGGGGGTTCTACAGGGGACCCGTGGGGAGCTACGCGGGTTATTGTAGGGGATCTCCCCCCCCCACCTCGCCGGAACGGGTCCCCGCCTCGGTTTTGAAACAGCGCTGTAACGTGCGTGTCGGATGTGTGTAAGGGTGTGCATGCGTGTGGGTAAGTGGAGGGTGTGTGTAAGGGTGTGCGTAGGGGGAGGGTGTGTGTCGGGTGTGTATACGGAGAGGGTTGTGTAGGGTGAGAGTGTCTGTAAGGGGAGGAGGGTGTGTAGGGATAGGGTGTGTGTGTAGGCTGAGGGTGTGTGTAGGCTGAGGGTGTGTGTAGGCTGAGGGTGTGCAGTGGTTGTGTGTGTGGTGGTTGTGTGTGTGTGTAGGGGTTGTGTGTGTAGGGCGAGGGTGTGTAAGGGTTGTGTGTGTGTAGGGTGAGGGTGTGTAGTGGTTGTGTGGGTGTGTAGGGTGTGTAGTGGTTGTGTGTAGGGTGTGTAGTGGTTGTGTGTAGGGTGTGTAGGGGTTGTGTGTGTAGGGTGTGTAGTGGTTGTGTGTGTGTGTAGGGCGTGTGTACGTGTAGGGGTTGTGTGTGTGTGAAGGGTGAGGGTGTGTAGGGGTTGTGTGTGTGTGTAGGGTGTGTAGTGGTTGTGTGTAGGGTGAGGGTGTGTAGTGGTGTGTAGGGTGTGTAGGGGTTGTGTGTGTGTAGGGTGTGTAGGGGTTGTGTGTGTAGGGTAAGGATGTGTAGGGGTTGTGTGTGTGTGTAGGGTGTGTAGGGGTTGTGTGTGTAAGGTAAGGGTGTGTAGTGGTTGTGTGTGTGTGTGTAGGGTGTGTAGGGGTTGTGTGTGTAGGGTGTGTAGTGGTTGTGTGTGTGTAGGGGTTGTGTGTGTCGAGTGAGTGTCAAGTAGTTGTGTGTGTGTAGGGGTTGTGTGTGTCGAGTGAGTGTCAAGTAGTTGTGTGTGTGTGTAGGGCGTGTGTACGTGTAGGGGTTGTGTGTGTGTGTGAAGGGTGAGGGTGTGTAGGGGTTGTGTGTGTAGGGTGTGTAGTGGTTGTGTGTGTGTAGGGTGAGGGTGTGTAGTGGTTGTGTGTGTAGGGGTTGTGTGTGTGTGTCGAGTGAGTATGTAGGGGCTGTGTGTGTGTGTGTGTAGGGTCAGGGTGTGTAGGGGTTGTGTGTGTGTGTAGGGTGTGTCGAGTGAGTGTGTAGGGGTTGTGTGTGTGTATAGGGTGTGTAGGGGTTGTGTGTGTGTAGGGTTAGGGTGTGTAGGGGTTGTGTGTGTGTAGGGTTAGGGTGTGTAGGGGTTGTGTGTGTAGGGTGAGGGTGTGTAGTGGTTGTGTGTGTGTAGGGGTTGTGTGTGTGTAGGGGTTGTGTGTATAGGGTGAGGGTCTGTAGTGGTTGTGTGTGTGTAGGGGTTGTGTGTGTCGAGTGAGTGTGTAGTGATTTTGTGTGTGTAGGGCGTGTGTACGTGTAGGGGTTGTGTGTGTAGGGTGATGGTGTGTAGGGGTTGTGTGTGTAGGGTGAGGGTGTGTAGTGGTTGTGTGTGTGTAGGGGTTGTGTGTGTCGAGTGAGTGTGTAGTGATTTTGTGTGTGTAGGGCGTGTGTACGTGTAGGGGGAGCGGTAATGTATCAATTAGCGCGCTGCGCTACGAATCGGACCACCCAGGTTCGATTCCCGCTCACGGCCAACACCGGTGACATTTACATAAACAGGTCCTGGGCCTCCCCTAGGTCGACTGACTAAAAATGAGTACCTGGTGAGATGTGTAAACATCGCCACTCGGGAGGTAAAGGCGGCCGGGCGTGGTGCTGGCCACCCACCCCCTCGTGTGCCGCTCCGGCCTTCATAGGTGCTGCTCGCTAACAGCACTTGCCACAACAGTCCGTTAACGCTATATGGGGGGTCTTTGATTTGTGTGTGTGTGTAGGGGATGTGTGTAGGGCATGTGTGTAGAGGCGTGTATGTATGGGCATGTGTGTTGAGGGGTATGTTTGTGTGTGGAGTGTGTTTGTATGGGTATGTGTGTGTAGTTTGTTGCATTGGTGTGTAAGCCTGTGTGTATGTATATATGTGTGCATAGGTGTGTGCATGTGCGTGTGCACGGGCTATGCAGGGGATCTTTGTATGTGTGCATTGGTGTGGGATTATTGCAGTACAGTATATAATATAGGTGAGGATTGCGTATCTTAAGGGGTGTGTGTTTCGGGTGTGCGTGGCTGGGTGTGGTTTTATGCCGCGTCGGCTTTGCGCTAATTGGCTATGTCGGGTGGTGGCGAGTTTAGCGACGCATTTTATATTTTACGCGATCTAACCCAAAAGGACCTCTATTAGGGATGGGTGTTGTTTGCGCAAGGAGGTTGGCGATGCCAGCTCGGGGTGTGGTAGGGGCCACAGTGAGTGCAGTGTGCGTCGGGGCTTGGCATCGTGTTTTTGGGGTGGGTGTGGGTGGTGTGTACGTGCTACCTGCATATTCGTGGTGTGATGTGCGTTTGGGATGTACCGTGTCGTGCATGGTGTGTTCTGTTTGTGTGCGCTGTGTTTGTCGTGTGAGTATGGGTGGTATGTAATCGTGGTGTGTGTGTGTGTTGTGAGTGTGGTGGCTGCGTATACGGCATGTGCAGTGCGTATGGTGCTGTGCGGTGTGCCAGCAGGAGTGCTGGGTTTGTCGGAATGTCTCGTGAGCGGCTGTGTTCGCGGTGTGCGGTGCCTTATGTGGTGTGTACCATGCTAGATTCAGCCTTCAAATGAGTACCTGGTGCGGTGTGTGTCTGTGTGTTAAGCATCGCCACTAGGGAGACAAAGGCGTCCGGGCGTAGTGCTGCCCCCTCCCCACACCCTCGTGTGCCCTGCTGGCGTTAATAGGTGTTCGCTAACAGCACTTGCCCCGACATTCCTTTAAATAGGAGGCTATACGGGAGGTCTTTGTCTTTTGTGTGCCATGTCCCGCTGAATTCACCCCGCGGTTTAACACGCGTGGCGAATTGAACGTGAACGCGCGTGCTGGTGGGCGATGTTTCCACCGTACACCCCGTGGCACCGGTGCTCGCAGTACGAGCACGTGCAGCGCGTTGAACTTTTTTTCGCACCGTACGCAGCCAACCGTGCTAACCGGAAGCAAGCTCTGGTCGCGCTCACCGAGCTCCCTTAACTCGGGGCTCACTGGCAACCTGTTGCTGCCCGGAGCGCCGGGGGCTGGGCGCGGCTGGCCCCGGGATGAATCTGTGCAGACGTAGCCCGAGGAGGAGGCCGTCACTGGGCGCACAATGTGCCGCGCGCGTCAATGGCGCCACAGGGTCTTTAATGTCCATCGCACAGCACGCGGCAGTCCAACTACTCCCACCTCCCCCCCGCCGTCTCCCTGTCTTCATGTCTCCCGTTCTCACCCCATCGATCGCTGACTTTGTCTATTTGTCTCCTCCCACGTTTCTCCCCGTGTCCCTGTCTACGTGTCTCTCTCACCGTCTCCCTCGATGTCTCCCTGTCTATTCCCCCTCCCGCTCCTCCGTGCCCTTCTCTGTCTCCCACCCCGTTTCCCTCCCTGTCTCTCTCTTCCGTTTTTCTCCTTTGGGTATCGCGTTTGCAAAGTCGTAGCCTCGGGGTTGAAGGTTGGGGGGGGGAGTGGGGGGGGGACTATGCGGGTCAAGAAGCGAGAGGGAGGAGGTGGGGTGGGGGGCCACCCAGGGACTCGACCCTGGATCTGGGCCACGTGGTGACCGACTGACGAGTGCGGTGCAGCGACCGAGTTGAGCAGTGGGTGAGCGTGTGAGTTCTGTGAGTTGAGACGAGGCGGGGTGCTGTCCCTGGTGCTGAAGCGCGGTCCTGGCGAGACAGCGACCTCTAGCGCCTGCACGGGGCCCCCCGCCTTCCAGCCCTGACCTCGACGGCCCAGAACCCCAGGCAGCGGGAACCCCGCCTTGCTCTGCAAAGACCCCAAAGCCACAGGACACCCGTACCCAAGACCCCATGAGGCCCCAAGGACCCCCTTCCGCCGTCTTCCGTGCCCAATCCCAGGGCACGATAACCTCAGGACTCCAGACCCCCCCCCCCCAACCTAAAGTCCCCGTTGCTCGTTCCGACCCCAGATCCCTATGAACCGCGCCCCTCTTGCTTTCATCTCCCATTGCTAGGATCCTCGCAGGCCAAGACCCCCGATCCAGACCCCAGCAGCACCCCCCCCCCGCCCCACCCGTGTGTCCCCACGTGACGCCGCGCGGCGCCCCCGACCCCATTGTCATGCACGGCGCGTGCTGCCCTCGCCCACGCGCACGCGCGCTCCCGCTCCCCTCTCCCCACTCTCCCTATCACCACTCCCCTCTCTCCCCTCTCTCCCCACTCTTCACCCCCCCTCTCTCTCCCGTACGCTCCCCTCTCTTCCGTACGCTCCCCTCTCTTCCGCACGCTCTCCACTTCCCCCACCTCCCTCCCCTCTCTCTCTCTCTCTTGTGCGCTCTCATCCCACGCGCGCTCTCCTCTCCCGCGCTCTCCCCTCTCCCTTCTCCCACGCGCTCCCCTCTCCCACGCGCTCCCCTCTCTCCCCCTCTCCCACACGCTCCCCTCTCTCCCCTCTCCCACACGCTCCCCTCTCTCCCACGCGCTCCCCTCTCCCACACGCTCCCCTCTCTCCCCCTCTCCCACGCGCTCCCCTCTCCCACGCGCTCCCCTCTCCCCTCTCTCACACGCTCCCCTCTCTCCCCTCTCCCACGCGCTCCCCTCTCCCCTCTCCCACACGCTCCCCTCTCTCCCCTCTCCCACGCGCTCCCCTCTCCCACGCGCTCCCCTCTCTCCCCCTCTCCCACGCGCTCCCCTCTCTCCCCCTCTCCCACGCGCTCCCCTCTCTCCCCCTCTCCCACGCGCTCCCCTCTCTCCCCCTCTCCCACACGCTCCCCTCTTTCCCCCTCTCCCACACGCTCTCATCTCCCCTCGCCCTCCCACGCGCTCCCCTCTCTCCCCCAC